CCTGGCGAATCAAATCCCTCCTCACCCCCTTCCCAAAAACCCCCTCCACATCCCCCACCCCACCCGGCCACTTCCCCGCCTCATCCAACATCGTCACCCGTCCCGGTGCCCCCACACTCACAGCCATTAATCGTTCCGGGTGGATATACAGAAACCGATGCGCGAATTGCCCCCCGCCGGAGAATCCCATTAGGTAGATCTTTTCGGTGTCGAGACCGGGCCAGACGGTGGCGATTTCGTCGAGGATGGAGAGGAGGGCTAGGTCCGAGCGGAGGGTCCTGGAGCGGAGGAGCTTGTAGGAGTCGAGGTCGTTGGGGCCGTCGATGTTGGCGGGGAAGAGAGGGGCCAGGATGGCGCAGGGAGTGGAGTTGGCGAAGGGGGGGAGGGTGGTGCGGAGGGGGGTGGGGTTGCGGCTGGTGCCGTGGATGGTGACCAGGAGGGGGAGTTTGGGGTTGTTGTAGGGGGCGGTGGTGGTGGTGGAGCGGTTGGGATCGGGGTTGTAGTGCGCGGGTGGGATGTATAGGGCGTAGGAGACGCGGGGGTCCGCGGCGAGAGTGCGCTGCGGGATGTGGCCGACTAGGAAGGCGGGTTTGAGGAATTGAGGGGGGACTTCGGGGGTGGTGAGGGGGATGTTCATTTTTGCTGCCGGGGATCTACCAAGATAGTGAACAGCGTTGGAGATTGTCAAGGTAGATAAGGCTGGCCGCTGGTTTTTATGGACTGTCGGGCAGAACGGGATGCCGATCCGCCGATGGTTCGGACCGTAAGCGCTAAGATCGGGGTTGATTCTGGCTCCAACGGTGGACTGTGGAGGTGTTGAGAGTGGGTTCGTCCATGAGATCGCAGGCTAGCCCGTTCAACGTTGAGGGCTATGGCCCGAAGTGTAAGCCGTAAGCCGTACGCCCGATTCCTACACGATTCGTTGAGAACATGTCGGCTCATTCCAAGGTTAATTCGATCTCAGCATCATCTGAACCATCAACGGCTTCTTCTCCCACACGATATATGTCTTCTGATCAGTCCAACCTGCGTTCGTGTTGGCATCTTGGATATCGAAATGCCAGAGCAGCTTGGACACGATCAGCCGCATCTCCTGCCACGCCAGACTGCGAGGTATTAGCTGGATTTGCATGAAATCTAAGCATGAACCTACTTCTGCCCCAGGCAATTCTGCGGTCCCATCGAAAACGGCTGAAACGCGTCCTTGTGGTCTTCCTCGAAGGCGGAATCCAACCCTAGCCAGCGCTCGGGGAGATATTCCTCCGCTCGGCTGAAGTTGCGAGGGGACCGGTTGGCTGCGTAGTTACTAACGTACACCATGGTCTGTTCGACTTCGTATCAGCAGCATTCAGCAACGGGAGGATGAGACATACACCCCCTGGAATCATCTCATTGCAGATATTAACTCCACCCGATGGCACCAGCCTCGGCAGACCCACCGGCGCAGCAGGGTACAGACGCATCGACTCCAAGATACACCCATCGAGGTACTCGAGCCGGGCGACCGTCCTAGGGGTAATATCCTTGTCCGTGGCAAACGCATCACGGATCTCGGTCGCCAGCCGCTTCATCGCGACCGGCTCCCGCAGAAGAAAATAGACGAGACCGCTGAGCACGGTCGCGGTGGTTTCGCTACCAGCCATCATGAGAGCAAACGCATTGGAATGCATCTCCGGCAGAGTCAGCCGTACCTCCTCTTTCTCCTGTAACACGAAGCGCCAAATATCCGGGTTGGTGGTTTCGCTCCGGGCCAATCGGCGATTGACCAGGTCGGCGGAGAAGTTGAAATGTTCTTCGAGCTTTTTTCGCGACGCCGTCAGGAGCTCGACGACTCGGCCGATTAAGGCCAGCTTGCGCAGCACGCATCGGATCGCCATGAATTTGACCCCGGCCATGCTTGCCCGGACCCACGGCACGTAGGTTTGGTTGTCGAGCAGGTGGAGCGACTCGCCGAAGGTCATGTCGGCTTGGATATCGAAGGTGGTGAAGTTGAGTAGGTCGACCACGTTGACTGGTGTTGGTGCTGAGTCGGTATGGGTAATGTGGTTTCGAATCGTCGATACCAGGTGGTTGATATGTCTCAAGAGTAGGTCTCCTTGCTCGCGCAGGGCGCGCTCAGAGAACCCGCGTAGTAGCATCCGTCGCATCCTGGCATGGGTGGCGCCACTGGCCGACGCCACATGCACGACCCCGTTGGGAGCTTCGCCGAAGAAGTCGGGGTCTTTGAGAAAGGTGCCCCGGTGGCGGTTGTAGATGTCTTTCCAGGCCTGTCCGTCGGTGTACGATAGTTCGTTGGGCCCTACTCGCACCACGTTGCCGTATCGGAGATGTAACTCGTGGATAATCTTGACGTTCGTTCCTTGAAGAGTGCGGGCGATGCGGGGAAGATCGCTGATGGCCCAGTGCCATGGGCCGGAATATTTGCGCAGGGGGTGGAGGAATAGACAGTAGAGGGCATGGAGGAGCTGCGGCGGGTTAGATCTGTTCAACACGGGTACTCATACTTACATAGGTCACTGAGAGCACCACCAGTGTCACTATACTGATGGTGTATGTTGTAGTGACGGACATGTTGGCTATAGGTGCCAGAGGCTGTCAGTTGCTGTTCACCTACAACTCTGGGAAACAAGATGACAACAAAGCGAAGATATATAAAAAGGCTGCTGAATTTAGGCACGATATGAAGGACAACATAGGGGCAAAAGCATCACCACGTTGTCTCATTATACATCACATCACTTAGAGTAGAATGCCTGGATTGACGCCACATGTTCAACGAACTGGTTTGCTTGCCAAGGAGGCACGCCTGATCCACACACATGGTGCCCCTTTAGAGCATCACATCAAACCTCAAACCAGAAGACGACGCTGTGAATCCTGATTACTCTCCAGCCACAAAGGGCGCCATGAGTTCCAGCTGTTACTGCCCCGGGAAACTACCATGGGTGGCCTAGATAGAGTTTGTCGGCGCCTGCCCCATGGTTGACAGCAGAAGTTAATTCGGTGATACTTCTGGCTCGTCACTGATTTCCAGCAGGTTGGTATACTTGGACATAACACCAGGGCATGTGGGATAAGCATCGCGGGATGACTGTCTAGACTCTTAGAGCACTGTGCTCAGGCAGAGGTTAATCAACGCCTGAGGCCGCCTCAGCAGCTGTTCTTGATCGCTACCAGCGGTCGCAAAATATAGATCTGAATTAAATATTTCGCATGAGGGCATCGTAGAGCGCTCTCTCATCGCATGAGACCATTCCGTTACTTGGCATAAGACTCATCGCTCTTTTGATGCATTACTCTGCATATCTACCAACCCATTCACCAACAATTCGATAGAACCACCCGAAATCCCATCACACCGATAGTTCCTGCCTCACTCAGATCCAAACAGCAGCCCAGCTTTAAGCGACTTGATCATATTCGGAGTCAACGGATCCGTCCCATTGAAGCTCTTTCTCTTGCGCTCCGCACTCGAAAACGTCGTAATATCCAATGCATCCCCCCCAATCTTTACCTTGGGAATGCCTCCATACGCCACGAGGCTGTTCCTCCTCTCATACATTTTCATCGAGGGCACCCAATCCCACGGATCTTTATTCCTCGTCGGCAGCACGATATCTTCCTGCTCCGTCTCTTCCTCCGCCCGGGCAATCGTCTCATCGATATCCGGCGGTCCATGCATGGTGATGTTGCGTCGCGCCGCATACGCAACCAGACAGAGCACGAAATCCTCGCCATAATACGAACCGTCCCGTCGCGCCCTGGAAGCCGGGAACTTATACTGCGACCGGTTGGACATGGATTCATCCGCGTACATGGCCATGATGAAGCCCAGGTTCCGGACATCCGAGTTGGGGCCTAATTGGCCCTGTTTGTCTAACTCCGCCAACATGGCGAGCAACATGTACTCATACATGGTTCGGGTTTTGTCGAGGATTTCACCGTCGTCGATCCTATCCCGTTAGTTCATCTATTCACCACCATGCCCACCTCCATCAAGCCTAGACCAAAGATGAAAATGAAAATGGGAGAAGAATGCTTGCTTACATCCTCATCACCCCAACCCAATCCCCCGCAATCAACCACCCCAACGCCTCACACACCGCCCACATCCTCCCACCAATCCTTCCTCTCCAACCCCTCCCGAAAATCCAACAACGCATTCTGCACCACCTCCAACGCCCCATACCCCGCATGATCATTAAACGTATACATTCCAAACGCCTCCGGATCCCGAAAATCCACCATCATCCGGTACGTGATGAATTTCTGCACCCCGGCTTTGGTGATGGTGCATGGGTGCGAAGGGTACGACGTGATGGGTTTGAAACAGATGCAGGTTTTCCCGCCGTCGCAGGCGGGGGGGTGTGTACGGTCCTCCTCCCCCACTTCCTCGGTCATACTACCTCATATCACGTTCGCTACTGCATAGGGTATAGCACAAATTCTCGTACATATACATAGCAATATGAAATCTCCCAGCTCCGGAATATCCATTGCGACAGTTTTATTTGGCGTCACGATCATGGCATGTCTATCACATCTGCTTAGAACAAACCCCAGATACGTCCCCCCCCCCCCCCCCCCAAAAAAAGGGAATATTTGCCGAATACACCCACGGCGACTCGATGGGAATTTCAGAACAATATCCATTATCTCGAGTTGGTGAAAACAATCACCTTAGATTCTCGGTGGACTGCCGGGAAATCAGTAGTGAGATGAAATATTGCACAAACCAGGAAGTTTTGAGTGTTATCACCTTATCCGTCAACTTTCATGTCCCTATTGAGATTGAGACAAGCTGGTAAGCCAGTCACTTCATGAGCGACAGCCGGATTACCAAATGGGGTAACCTTCCCTCTCGGCACAGCATCGCGGGTATAAACGCTACTCGTCCGCAGACATAAGAAGCGGGGTCGATTTACAGAGTACTTCCCCATCATCTCTCATCTCATCGCTTTGAGAGCTCCATCAACCATGTCCGACCCTCCCATTGACCCCGACCGATACGTCCGGGCGAGTTCCATCACCGAAAAATACTACCGCGATGTATACCCAGCCATCAACCCATCAAAACCCGAGTTCTCGCAAACAGGCAAAGTCACGATTATCACCGGTGCGGGGAAGGGCATCGGCAGAGTGAGGAATCCAGTTTCCCAGCGCACTCCTCCACAAATCACTAATCTTTACTCCAGGGAATCGCACGCACCCATGCAACAGCAGGCGTCAAGGCACTAGTCCTTATTACCAAATCTATCGAATCAGGGGAAGAAACCCAAGCACTCATCCAGGCAGAATTCCCATCACTTGAAGTCCTCGCTCTTCCCACCGATATCACAGATGAGATGGCTGTGAATCGCACCTTCAATACCATTAAACACAGATTTGGTACCGCGGATACATTAATCAACAACGCAGCGTCCCTGACATCCGCTCGAATCGAAGAATCGGATCCAACCAAGTGGTGGAATAACTTTGAAACCAACGTCCGTGGTACATACCTTGTCACGGCAGCATTTCTACGCCTAGTTGCTGCCGACACCCAACCCACAATCATAAACATCATCAGTTCAATCAGTCTGACCACCCCGGGGCTGAGTAGCTACCTCATGAGTAAACTGAGCGTGGCCAAATTCACCGAGTTCATTGCCGCTGAGAACCCCAGCGTGAGGGCGTATAGTCTGTCCCCGGGCATGGTGGTGACGGGGTTGACTGTGGAGGCGTTTAAGCCGTATTCTAGAGATACTCGTGAGTGATGATTCCACTGGGTGGAGGGTATAGGTATCTTGCTAATGGCAGGATAGCGGAATTGACAGGAGCGGTTACGGTTTATTTGGCTGCTAAGCGGCCTGAGTATCTGAATGGTCGGCATTTGTCTGTGAATTGGGATTTGGAAGAGTTGGAGGGGCGAAAGGAGGAGATTGCGTTGTCGGATTTGTTGAGGGTTGGTCAGTTTTTATAAGTTGAGATTATGCTCGGTGTCTGTCTGGATTGTTTGGTATGCCTTGCGACTATGTTATGGTGTTCATGCATGTATTAGTGCTATATTAGATATAGCGAGGACATAGTACTCCTAGCACAGGTGCTAACTACTATAAACTGCATGATAAAATCTCACACTGTACTAGTGCTAGTACAAATTTGAATGGCAATCACTCGTAGCAGTCCTCAGCATCTAAGGTACCTTACTCCCTATTGTGCTCCTCTCTGTTTCTAAAGCAATCCCACCATCCATCCTTTATGCCCACAACTCAAACGGCCCCTCCACCTCTGCCACAAAAACCTTCGTGCGATCCATAAAATTCATCTCATCACTCGCAACCCGCTCTCCCTGCGCATCCAATCCATCCCGAAAAGCCTGAAAATGCTGCCTATCCTGGAAGACCATCTCCACATACACATCCCAGGGAAAATCGTCCGGTTTGCCGGCCAACACCGTTGGTGCGTAGTAGGCGTTAGTGAGGTCCATGGATCCGGCATTGTTAGGGGTGCGAGGGAGGTAGTACCGTTTGTGTCTCGTGGGGAATGAAGCGCCAGTCATTTGTTTGACCATAGGGAGATGGTGATGCTCGTAGTAGTCTTTGAAGTACGCTGGGGTGGTGCCGGGTTTGCGGTAGAGGTAGGCAAGGAGGGTTAGGGGCATGATGGTTTGGGCTGAGCTTTGTTATGGGGATAAGATGGTGCTGGACAAGTGAGAGACAATGCTGAGTGTGTTGTTTTAAGTGTACATGGTTGACGTGTATTTATATCTCTCTGAGGGTTTATTAGGAGTATAAGCATTGATGTAGTGAGAACTAGAAGGTTCTCGCTCCTTCACGCATGGTCTTGATGCTTCCAGTAAGCCGGAGCGCACCGGGCCGCACCATGTTCGTTTGGTCCATTCTCAGGACTGGAGTGCACCAGTGCTGCGCTGCCTAGTGGTTCTACAGTCCAACAAACAGACAAAGACCTGACTCAAGACTTACAAGTTATGCATAAGTAGCCTGTATTTTTGTTCTGGATAGATTGCTGGCTGCCTCAGGCGTGAGGAGTCCAGCCAATGAAGACTGCAGAAACCGGACCAATGAGACCCTCAGGACCCCTTGATTTCACTTACTCCATTGGAGATCCTTCGGGTTCGAACAGCAGCTGATAGAGTCCGTGAGCTGTGTTGACACTGTGATTGTCTTAGTATACTTTCAGATGAAGCGTTTTCTCTCTCTGGGCAAATAGTGCCCTAACAAGCGAGGGAAGACGTATAGTAACTGACCATACGACCGTGCTTCGACTGTGCCAGACACACTATCTTGGGCTTTGTCGACTCGCCAGATATACAACTTTTGAGGGCGCAACATGGGAGTCATATGTATGGTCTGCTGTTTATGGACCGCTGGATGCACCTGGTGGGGTCGGAGGGTGAGCGAGAGCTTGATTGGGGATATGATTGGAAGGCGGAGGCGTTTGGAGTCAATTAGATTATGTGCTTCGATGAAGAAAGTCATTCATATGGTACCTTTACGGGAGATATGTCATAGCATACCATTGGTGTGATGCTATCAATTAAGTTTTCCTGCACAGGTTTGTGTCCGCCCTGACCAGGCTACCACCATTCCCCCACCCTAATTGCTTACAGTCTGGACCACCCTTCTTGTTCAAAGCAGAAGTTAATATCACCACTCACCGTTCTACACCTCTATACTATGACATCACGTTCACCCTACTTTATTTAGAACTAGACCATATCCTGCATCCCATGTACTATAATCATCCATGGAGCCTCCTACCGCCATCATAGTCGGTACGTACACCCACACCTACAGTGCATCACTAACCCGACAGGTGCCGGCGTCGGCGGCGTGGCTGTTGCAGCGCGTCTAGCGAAGAAAGGCTACCGAGTGACAGTGGTAGAGAAAAACGCGGAAATCGGGGGCCGATGCTCCCTATTACATGACAATGGCTACGTGTGTCTCTGCATCCCCAAGGAACCCCACTAACATCCACAGCGCTTCGACCAAGGCCCCTCACTTCTCCTTATGCCCTCCTTCTTCCACCAAATCTTCCACGACCTCGACACGACCATGTCCGCCGAAGGCATCACCCTTCAGAAATGCAGCCCTAACTACCGCGTCTGGTTCCCCGACCACGACACCCTCGACCTGACCACCGACCTCCCTACCATGAAATCCCAAATCGAAGCCCACGAGGGCCCACGCGGCTTTGACAGATTCCTCCGCTTCCTCATCGAATCCGGCCGCCATTACAACCTCTCCTGCGAATACGTCCTGCACCGAAACTTTCCCAGCCTCTGGAGCATGCTCCGTTTGGATCTCCTCCTCGCGCTACCCTACCTCCACGCCTTCGAGAGCATCTACACTCGTATTAGCCGATACTTTCACTCCGAGCAACTCCGCCAAGCATTCACCTTTGCCAGCATGTACCTCGGCATGAGCCCATTTGATGCACCAGGGACATACTCCTTATTACAGTACTCCGAACTCGCCGAAGGAATCTGGTACCCCTTCGGTGGCTTTCGAACGGTATCCCCCCATTCCTCCCCCCTCGCCACCCCACTCTAACAGCCCTAGATCCTCGACGCCCTCGCCAAAATCAGCACCCGCCACAACGCAACCTACATCATGAACACCCCCGTCACATCCATCGAACTCACCCCGGACCAGAAATCCATCACCGGCGCGCGTCTCGCCACCGGAACCCTCCTCACCGCAGACATCGTCATCGTCAACGCTGACCTAACCTACGCTTACAACCATCTCCTCCCGCAAACACCCTACTCTAAAGCCCTACAACGAAAGCCAACATCCTGCAGTACCATCTCCTTCTACTGGGGTCTCGACACCACGGTTCCAGAACTCCAAGCGCATAACGTCTTCCTCGCAAAAGAATATCGAGCGAGTTTCGACACCATCTTCCAGGGAAACCGTATCCCCGAAGAACCGTCCTTTTATCTCCACGTACCGAGCAGAATCGATCCCTCGGCATCACCACCCGGAACAGATGCGGTGGTTGTATTAGTGCCCGTGGGACATCTTCCGAACCCATCTTCATCTACAGTTCCCTCTACCATTTCCTCAGAAACAATAAATACAATCCGTGCTAAAATCCTCACCACCCTCGCCAGACACACAAAAACCAACCTCACCCCACATATCCTCTCCGAGAAAATCGAAACGCCCTACACGTGGAACAGCAAATACAACCTCGACCGGGGCGCAATTCTCGGCCTCTCGCATTCGTTTCTCAACGTCATGTGTTTTCGGCCCGGCATTCGGCATAGAGATATTCGGGGACTGTTTTTTGTAGGCGCGAGTACGCACCCGGGGACGGGGGTTCCGGTTGTGATTGGGGGGAGTGGGATTACAGTTCAGGAGGTGGAGGAGTTTATGAAGGGGAGGAAAAGTACGAAGGGGGGTAGGAATAGGATGAGGTGGATGGGTATGGTGTTTGTGGTTATGGTGGGATGTTTAGTTGTGGGATTGGTGTTGATGATAAGATTGGGGGTGGAATGGGAGGGTTTGTTTGGGAGAAATGGGAGGATGGGTGTAGATGAGTTGTGAGTGTGTGGAATGGATGTGGTGGGTGGTGATGTGTTGTCTTTTGTGGAGGGTGTGGTTGAATATGGGTACGGTGTTTGTATATGCTTTCTCTTCGATGTGGTCTAGCATGGTAATTATAAGGACTCGTTTAGTGGTCGAGGTTGGTTGTTTGGGACGTAGTATACTTACTCTAGGAGTGTGGTCGTTGAATATATGGCTGTTCAGATCGTGACTTACTAGGTTTGTGGGATTTACCAAGATTATAATTGGACTGGCTGTACTATCAAATCATGAATATGATCAGAAACACAGAGTCAAGAATATCAACAAGCATGAGCATTCATGATTGACTAGGTCATCCGGTTGGACCGAGGCAAAAATATGAGTCTGATTATTATGGATCTACTTGTTGGGGATATTCGGGCAACTAAATCAAGAAAAGCAGTATTTAATCAGATATAAGTAAGCATCATCTAAGGGTATTAACATTATCTATACAGCAAGAATATACCACATACAAGGACTATATAGCCACAGGTCAATTACAGCAAACTCAACACACCAGCTACAGCCACCGCCACACTCATCGATCCCACCACCCGGGATCCCGCATTCTTACTGTCTCCAGTGCCAGTTCCCGTGCTGTCAGAACTCGAACTCGAGCTCGACCCCGACCCCGACTCCGAATTGCTTGCCGTGGTCTTAGACCCCGCCGTCATGTTCAACCCCGTATCCTGCAGATTATACAACACGGTATCATTACCCGACACTTCAATCGTGTTCGACAGGCCGCTGTCACTGGTATACACGTAGGACCTGTCACCCTCGACAAGAGCCCCGGACGGGTAATCGTAGCACTCGATCGTAATGTCCTTGTACTGGGCATAGAAGTAACCGTATTCCTTGATATCCGTGCTGTCCCAGTCGATCAGACCGCCAGCCCATTCGATCGTGCCGAGACCCTCGGCTTCAGAGCCACCAGGCCAGATGGACATTTCCAGCCGAGAAGGCGTCTGCGGGTACATGTAGACCCCGGAGGTGGCGTTGTAAGTCGAGTTCTTGGTCAGCGTGCGCATGACGGTGCCGTCGACGATCCATTCCAGGACATCGGGCTTCCAGTCAATCGTGTAGGTGTGCCAGTCGGCGAAGGTGTCATTGGGGGTCACGGCCGCGTTGCGTTCGTTGGTGTCTGCTGCTGTTAGATAGGAATCCGAATCAGAAGGAAAGGGGGCTCACAGTTTTGCACGCCTTGGAAGTAAAAGTCGGTCTGCACACTCGTCAGGTTGTATCCAACCCATTCGTAGTCAATCTCATCCGAATCGTCCGACATCAGGATGAAACCGGTGACGACACCCCCGGTGCGACTACTCTTGATCCGGGCCGACACCTTGCCGTACCAGATGTAATGGTTGAGGGCGAATAAACTGCCCGTGGTCCCATTGGGCATGGTCAACCACAGAGTCTCGTTCTTGATCTTGGGATAACCGCTGTACACCCAGTCATATTCGGTCGCGTTGCCGAGATATTGGTCGTACAGGATGGCATTGTCCAAGTTGGTGAACGAGTAGGTCTGGTTCTTGCAAATCGGCTCCGGCGTGCAACTATCCAGCGAGTACGATTCCAGCGGGTTGCAGCCTCCCAGGCAGTATGTTCCTACACCACATTGTCCACCTGGATGGTTAGCGACGGTCAATCATCTGGAGGATGGTCTCACTGTAACAGCAGGGATACTCCTCCGGACACTTGCTATCGGCACTGCAGCTCGGAGCCGAAGCCGAGGCGGTGACGGCAGCCAGACAGGCCACGAACCAAGCCGGGATGTGGCGCATATTGTCCGAAGTAGCGAAGGATGGGGTAAAACACTGCTGGGAGACGCGTACAGCAGATGAAACGGCAGTGGGTTTCAACGGGGTGCAGCGGGAGGCTGATCATATATTGGAAAATCCCGCAGTCTCTCCATCGGTCCTCCCGGGGAAGAAAAGGGGAACGTGTGGGACGGTGACCGGAGATATCGGCTGTGCAGTTAGCATTGGATAATCCGATAGCAGATTCAAGGTACGGCGGATCGGCTAACCAGTGGTGGCACTTGGCAGGACACCAAGTGGTCAGTTATGGCACGGAGCCCGCTGAGAACACGACGGGTCTCATCGCGGGTCAGCCCTGAGCCAGGACATGTTGTCTGCCACTCCACTGCAAAGACAACTGCAGCGCTGCAATGATTCAGGCACAGTTGGATCGAACAGCATGAATGGCAGGGGTCTGATACTGCAGGTTTCACGCCTGCGAGGCGACCAATCCGAGCTAGGCAGCAGGATTCAGGCTTGCAATTGTTGGTTCAAGCTTTGCTAGTGGCAGCACTAGTGCCGGTTACCCACTGCTATCTCAGGGGCATTGCGCGTCCAGTTGTCTGTTATCAGCGCGGTGACCAATATGATTGTGACGCGCGAACGATGAGGTCATTTGATTCTAGTGCATGGCATTGCCCAGTAGAATTGCCTGTAGCATGACCCTTTGCGAGTTCTCTGTCGATCCCGGGGATTGGGGGCAGGAAGCAGTCGAGATGCCGAGGATCCGCCGCAAAGGAATGATTCAGAATCTTCCGCGGGTGGGGCTCCTGCCGGCAATCCATTGGCTTTGACTCTCCCACATTGATTGTGTCTCACCAGCACGCTCAGCTCTGTTCCTGACTTTCTTCCTGGCAGGAACCCTGGCAGCTACCCTGGCAGGGCTAGTCGGCTAGTTCGAATGGGCGTCGGAGTAGCATGAACCATCCCAGTGGGTCTTACACACACATTGAAGGCCAACAATAACCAGACACTCAATTGAGCCATGCACCAATTCATCCTCGTCTCCCGCGTCAATGTTTCATTTTCATCATCGCTTTTGCAAAATCCGCCTGTCATTCCGACAGCATCCACAGCTTGGCAAAGCTTGTTTGCAGAGGGGAAAATCAAACCCCTATCGGGTTGTCTCATCCAGGGGATATACTTAGCCGTTGACCCAAAATAAATCCAAGACATGCTCGCTGTCTAGTGCGATTACCATAGGCAGCACCGAAAGCGATCGGTAGTTCGTCTTTGTTTCCTTTAATAGATTGGTTCCGTCCTTTGTTTGGGAGAATGACAGCACCATGGCCATGAGGATTGGATTGAAAGAGGAAGTAGGCAGCAATGGACAGAAGACTGTCATGTGAGACAGGGTTTCCTAATTTTGCGTCTGCTCTTCGAAGAGTACAACGGCCCGTCTGAGGCTGCAACCGTCTATAACGAGGTGAGGCCTGTCTCGACCAACGACATGAAAATCAAGTTTAGGGAACGGTGTCCTAGCACTAGTATCAATAAGAAACCAGAAATATACATTCAGGACATACACACTCACATCTATGGCCTCACGACCAGGGAGATATCCAATCATTATCAAAATTAAGAACGTCCAACTTCAACCCCGTAAAGATTGACCGCAGACAATCCATTACCCCGTCTACCGAATAACGGATCCCCCAATTGCTCCGCAAACATACCACACCTAACCAAAATCCCCCGCACTCATCAAAATATTTCTCCAACTCCCTGTTCTCCAACCCAACAAATCGAGCGCAACAGCAAGCCGACATTTCTGTCGCTATACCGCGCCAAATCCATAACCAGAACAATAATTTCATCTAACAGCTTCGCATAACTTCCCAGAAGACACCGCGCCTCCATAATCTCCCGTTCATACGGCAGATACGGAGCCTCGCTCACACAATTCTAAAAGACACCAAACAGAACAGCTCCATACGGAAACTTATACCCAGCGATCCTTCTTGACGACGACAAGAGTGTTTGAAAACAGGGCTCCGCCGTCCGAGGCCTCCCCTTGAAATTGTCCGTGAAATAAGACTCCGCCACAGCGCGAGCCAGAACAGGGCATCGTTTCGCAACATTCCTCCTCAAGATGTCCTCTCCAGAATGGTCTTTCGGTATTCCAGAAAACCCCTGATGCGCAAGATTTGAAATCTCATTTTCAAAATCCCTCGTACATCAGTACAGCATGTGCTGATCGACCCCATAACACGATAGTCATCCATAAGTAACTTCTCCTCTCCCTCTATATCGCTTACAGATTTCACAACAGGAAAGCGAAGCTAAAATCCATACCCAAATTGGTCCCCCCCAACACCCACTGATACAACCACACATCAATATATTCGCCATGCAACTATGTCACTTGGTGATTTGGAGATTATAATTCGGCGCTGTATTCACACGATAGAAATCCTAGCACAAATGCGCTCGACATTGGCGGGCGAAGGCATGGCCTTGTCGTTCGCGGAAAGGAAGGGCGCAGGGTCAGCTTATCTTGAATTCATTAAAGAAAGTTGCATTGCCGGGGTGGTGGTAGTGGTTTTTGAGAATATGTGGGTTTCATGGGCAGATGAAGAGATAGACTTGGACGTAGGGCATACTGGAGATAGAGCAAAGACAAGTAATAAGAAATAGATCGACATTTAGCATTGCGGTGGATACTTTTATCTGATATAAGCAAACGTCCGCGCTCGGTTCGGAATTGACACCCCCGTCAAATGATAGTAACTGACATGTCAGGTATAGCGTCCTGATTGATCTGACTTGCCTTGCACTGCAGAAGTCCCACACGAATATGGTAACTCGGGAAATCACTCACAGGGCTTTAAGAGCCAGCATCGGCACCCAGTGCTCGTCAGAATCTTCCTCAACCGCATCAGTCTCTGGTATTATTCAAACGGGTGGTTGTCTGGGAATATCTGGGAAGAAGAACAAACCTGTGATATGGGATTCTCCAGGACGATTCAATACCCCTGTGCAAAATTATATTGAGCATTGTGGAAGGTGATCGGATTTAGTTTCCCTTCATAGTACGCAAATAGGCGTGGACCAAACAAGCCACTTTTCGCATTTGAGCTCGAGTGGCCCACTATGACGAGCCATGCACTTTGGTCATATGCCTCCATTCTCACGACCTCGCGGTTCCAATCACGGCTATCGTTTTGAATGATGCACGGGGCGTCAAGCCAGATGGAGTAAATGTGGCGGCGTCGGGTGAGCGAGATAGCCTCTTGCAGCGTCGACAAAATGAGCTCCCATTCATTTTGCCGGGTGTGGATGTCGAAGTTCCGCTGTGGGGTCAGCAGGTTCCCCTGCGTTTTTCAGCATTACGACGCAGCAGTGTATGGGTTCCAGTCTCACATGATGTAGGTTCGTGCAAATCATTTTGTGCGAGTCGGAAGATCCGAAACTAATTACCCGCCGCGGAAGGTCATCAGAAGACTTTTGCGGCATTCTCGATGCCCTTTTATGCATGCCTGCAGCTAACGTGTATCTAGGCGACCGTTTCTTCCATGATTAACCCGTCTGACAGGTGAGTGCCGGTTCCTAGTTGTGGCAACGGAGTTTGATTTCCTGGAAGATTCAGCATTGGACTGATTAAAGCCAATAAAGCAGAAGCTACTTATAGAAGTGCCTTTCTGAGTAAATACATCACAAATCAGGTCCGGTAGGCTAGTAGATCGATATTCATTCCTCACAACCAAGTATAGTCCCCGTTGGGAACATGTAATCACGTGCAGCGCCGTTGCAAGATAATGATATCTCTCAGTTATCCAGCTAGCAACTGTCAAGACAACATGACAAATTTGACATCGGACTCGGAGTTCCTGAGGTCGTCGAAGAGCATAGGAACTCTGTCAAAGGACTTGGACACAGCCCTAGGTTGTAGATGGTAACAGACCGAGCATCTCCGCCATTGTTCCCTAGTATGGAAATAGGCCAGTTAATGAAGAGCCCAACTAATGTTATCAGGGCTGCAGATGCGAGACACACCATTCCTTCAAAATTAGTATCCTGTCCGGTAATGCATGTGCCGAGGCAGAGCAACTGTAGAAAGATGTGAAAGAGATAAAGAAGATAGGGATGGATAAACCAAGGGTAACCGGGGTTTGTCGACTGATTGATACTACCCGTCATATTGTGCCCGATTGCTAACCATAGCGAATTGGGCATCGTGGGAGGCCACTTGGTTCTCCACAATCATTACAAGTGTGCAATGGCTGACAATAGAGTTATCCATCATGAGACAAAGCAGTTTGCATAGACATGCTCGTAAGTCTGCTGCCGCATCACCACCGCTGCCCAAGATATCGTGCCAGGGGTTTGCACCTCCTACCTGGAATAGCAGCTACCCAATCCGATTTAGGAATTTATTTCTATAGAAAAGAGTGCCTACATAGTACTTACCTTGGAACCTGTTGCTGCCTAGGTTTCCTTGATTAGACCAGATTTGCCCATCACCAGTAGGGTACAGTGGTGAAGAATGTGGATAATCTCCCCGAGTACTATGTGCATAGACGCACTTTGAACTACGTGTTCGATGTGATTCCATGGATTTGCAAGTCCGGCTGTATATAGAACCCTTCGGCTTTAGTCGGAAGATGCCGATTATCTTTATCCGGTAACCCGCCTCACCCTTAGGATAGATTCTAGTACACTTCCATTAGGAGATGCATGGAATGTTTGGGGTTGAAGGTGCTTCTATCTTACAATGTCTCAGACATTGTATTCCTAAGCGCAATTCCATGGGAACTGGCGAGTCTATGGCCTGGGGCACTGTCGGAGATCTCCGCCTAACCCAGACAACGATGGCCTCAGCCCGAGGCGTCCGACACTACCTCATTGGCCCAACATTGTATGGTGACACGCTATAATCTGATGGTCGACCGCGGATGATGCTTGATGCTGCATTGGCATTCATCGGGCGAGTCCCCGTTGCTTGCCTACATACGTAGTACTTAGATGCTCTTGTGTCGGTTGAACCAGTGCAGTTCCAACTTCTTCTGCATGCAAGACGGGTAATTGCTGCCCCCTCATGATTGGATACTTCGGTGGGTCATTGAGATCAGGAGTGACCGTCTTTGTTGATCGTAGGCTGACTTGCCGTGCGGAGCCCAGCCAGCGATTGGCTGTACCATCGCAGTTATTTTCCCGAGCTGGAAAACAATCTCAATGGCGATTATAGAGTCGCGGCGATGACAAAGTCTGCGTACACATGCGACGTGCGCGGCATTCTCAGTAAGCAAGTTAGGATTGTCGTGTGGGGAAATCAGTTACCAAATATGTTCACCGAAAGGATACCTGTAGGACCGCATGCAACGTTGACATGGTCATATGAAACCAACTCAGGCTGATTGCATATCTTTCCAGTGCAGATCAGTCTGACTCTCGCACAGCTTACCTTCACCAGTGAACAGATCAATTCAAAGACTACTGCGTTTGCAGAAGGATGCGGAACCCTGCAGTACCCGGGTTAGGGCATCGGATTGGCTTCTTCAAGCGGAGTGTGCGGCATACAGAGGGCTATTGGACTGGTTGCGATGCTGACAGCAATCAAGCCAAATCATATGATAAGCGAGACGATTGAGAGAACTGGTTTTGATGGCCCGCGTGGCCGAGACGGAGATGATGCAGAGTGGGTCGTGAGGTGGTCAATGAGATTCGCCTATGGACTTCCTTCGCTGTGGTCTACCGATTTAGGGCGATGGAGAGCGGGGTCAGACAAGACTCCAGAGAAACATGGTTGCGAAAATACATCCCACGATCGAGTCTAGACTCCGTGCGCGTGGTTGGCGTGGGATGATAGACTTGTTTTCCTGACTCCACAGAAGGGAAGTGTTGATGTGAATGATAGTGTATTGATTGTCAAATGCCATACGATATTGACACACAACCCGTCATCAAAAGATAGCTCAGCCGGCGACGCATCTCGGCCACTAGGTGTGGCGTCGGGTTGCATCGGAAATCGGGATGTGAGGCCTGGCAGAGAGACGGAATAGCTGCATGGATGGCCGAGAATTAGCTTTGCAGCCAAGAAGCTAAGCACTGGACAGCCAGGGCTGACCCGATCTGGTTGCAAGTGCCGTCGGGAGGCACCCGGCAGCGACCGCACGGAGCATGACGTCGGGAATTGTACCATAGTACCATTTACTCTGTAAGAGTGGATGACGTTGGGTGGGTTGACATGCGAGCTGACCCTGCGTCATGGGGCCAGAAAGATCGCAGAGATGCTGGGGAGGACGCGGAGAAAGGACTGGGGAAGAGCCAGAGAACTGGAGAGACTAGCAGAGAGAGAACATAACTCCGTACACACCACGGAAGTAGTGGATGTGGAGGATGGCGGATGTGGCTTGACGTCACTGCTCACCGCCGGCGCTGGCTGGACGAGTACTACTCGTCCAGTACTCGTCCAGCTGCAAGGCTGCTTCCACTCTCTTCCTCGATGCATACGGACATCCAGCTGGGATCATTTCCGACATTTTGCCGGCTGAAGTGAAACCGACCTGGCAGCCACGCAATCAAAAACTTCATCTCTATCTCACACAGCATCCCGTCGGAGTCAACCCCGGGTGTTGCCGCAGTGGCCAATAACCCTTAACTCGGGTACTACTAGTACGTAGTGTGAGCCGGAGAATCAGGAGCCCCCGCCTCTGATTGGGACCCCAGACCTGGGCTGACGGGCCGGAACTATGACGCCAGCGCCGGGAGAAGATCTCTTCCGCCGAGTCCGACTGGATCTTATCAGGTTCTCTTAGCGAACAGCCTCTCGGGTTTCCGTATTGGGACAACCATCCTTGCCATCTGCACAGTACTAATGCAACTTCCTGGAAGCCCTCACGTCATGCTATGGATGACAGCCACGGACTTCACCAGAATGAAGGCCTCAGGAAGAACCATGTACCGGCAAAGGAGGCCATCCACGAGGGATCAGCGATCTATAAAGCGCTGGCAAATTCCACATCGGACTCAATCGTCACTCCAGCATCATCACCAACCCAATCATCCTCTCTTCTATTAGCCATTTGAGGTACTGATTGGTCTTCTATCATTCTATTCCATTCCCCACCCCCGCATGGCAGGATCCCCTTACTCGATCTAGTTTGTGTACCTGCTTATCACCATGACGGCCTCTGAGCCCAACCCCGAGAACGGCAACATTGCCAATCCCGACATGTTCGATGAGAAAGTTTCCGACAAAAAGTCCGGCAAGGCGGACCGCAGATCCGAATCGGAGGATCCCACTACCCAGCAGGCTGAGCATGCCTCCGACCCGACGTCCGGCAGTGATTCCGATAGTTCAAAGAAAGAGCGTCCCGATGGCAAGCGGGAGCTGAGCGAGGATGACTGCTACGACAAACTCGGCTTTTGCTTCCCGTGGTACAAAAAATGGACCATCCTTTCGGTGGTCTTCATGGTCCAGATGTCCATGAACTTCAACACCGGTGTGTACTCGGATGCCCTCACTGGTATCGAGAATGAGTTTGGTGTCAGCGCGCAAGCGGCCCGTGTCGGACAGATGATCTTCCTGGTCGCCTACGCATTCGGCTGTGAGCTGTGGGCCCCATGGAGTGAAGAATTTGGACGATGGCCGATCATGCAGCTCAGTCTATTCCTCGTCAACATCTGGCAGATTCCTTGCGCCCTCGCACCTAACTTTGGCACCATCGTGGTATGCCGCTTCTTAGGAGGTCTAAGCTCCGCTGGTGGCTCCGTCACCTTGGGTATGACGGCCGATATGTGGGAGATTGACGACCAAGGGTTCGCCGTTGCCTATGTCGTGCTCTCCTCGGTGGGTGGGTCCACCATTGGACCTGTCTTTGGTGGCTTCATCGGCCAGTATCTCTCGTGGCCCTGGGTGTTCTGGGTGCAGTTGATCGTGGGTGGCTTCACTCAGGCTCTCCACTTTTTCTTGGTTCCTGAGACGAGATCCTCCATCCTCATTGACCGCGAAGCCAAGCGTCGCCGCAAGTCCGGCGAAGACCCCAACATCTACGGCCCCAATGAATTGAAGGAGAACCGCTTGAGTGTCAAAGAGGTCTTGCGAATTTGGAAGCGTCCCTTTGAAATGTTTATCCGCGAGCCCATTGTGCTCTGCTTGTCTCTATTGTCTGGTTTCTCCGATGCCCTGATTTTCACCTTTACGGAATCCTTCACCCTTGTGTTCGACCAGTGGGGCTTCGATACTCTGACCAACGGCCTGGCATTTTGTGCTATTCTGCTCGGCTACATTATCGCCTACCTTATCTTCCTGCCGGATATCTGGCGACAGCGCAAGATCCGGAAGACGGAGGGCAATGCCGCCCGCTTTGCGGAGCGCCGCCTCCTCTTGCTCTTGTTCCTTGCACCCCTCGAGCCGATCGGTCTGCTGGGCTTCGCATGGACGTCCATCGGGCCCGCCTATGCACCGTGGATCGCCCCGTTGATCTTCGCTTGTCTGATTGCCATTGCCAACTACGCCATCTACATGGCCACGATCGACTACATGGTGGCTGCCTACGGTGTATACTCTGCCTCTGCGACCGGTGGCAACGGGTTCGCCCGTGACTTCCTGGCTGGTATTGCAACCATGTATGCCACCCCACTGTATGAGAACATCGGCGGCAAGTTTCACTTGGCGTGGGGTAGTACGCTGCTGGGATGTATTGCCGCCTTGGTGGCTATTCCGATCTACATTTTCTACTGGAAGGGACCGGAGATTCGACGACGCAGCAAGTTCGCCCAGACGCTGGCGGCCGATCGCGAGAAACATGCTGGCCGTCGGGCCAGTCGACTCCGCCGGGAGTCGCTGCCATATCCTGTTTAGCGTTTGGTCATCTGTGTGAGTGTATATATGATATCCCCTGAGGTACATGCATTTCTTCGAAACCTAGAATAGATTATACCCCAACTTCCAATGGATGTCATTATTCTCCCATATCAGTCATGCTGTAGTGACGTTGGTAATAAGATTTATATGTCCTGTCGAATGAATGCATTTAGAAGCACGTGCTCGTGCTGGTGTGATATCCCCGCAAATGACGACTTCTGGATTGGCTTGCGAAAGCCCGGATGAATATTTTCCCGCCATATTCGCATCCGTCCTGCAGGGATTGCGACATGGTGTTCCAATGGCCGGTATAGAATACGAAAGAATCCGTATATCTGCCATATAACGCACCATATTAGCATTTGACGTGATTGTGAATTATTAATTCTGACAAGCCCGGCATTAATAATGCTCATAGTTCCGGCTCGGAGACCCGAGCTGCGATACCGAGACGGCGGGCGGGGTCCTGATGCCCCTCTTCTCCACGCCTTCTTATACCCGCCAGGTCCGCACTTCTCCTGATCATCTATCAGTCAAACACAATCATCATGTCTGCCCCCAAGATCATCCTCTACACCAACCGCATCTGCCCCTGGGCACATCGCGCCCACATTGTCCTCGCGGAGCTCGGTCTCCCCTTCGAGGAAGTCACCATTGACCTGGACACTCCGCGCGAGCCATGGTATCTGGAAGTTAACCCGGTACGTTCCTTGTTCTTCCAAACTCAGCTCTCATCAACAAGCTAACGAATTCCTGTTTCAGCGCGGTCTCGTCCCCTCCCTCTCCTACAATGGCGAAATCATCACCGAATCCGCCATCGTCTCTCAATTCCTCGCCGACGCCCACCCCTCCCACCTCGTGCCCCCCTCCAACACCCCCGAAGGCGCCCTGCAGCGCGCCCGCATCGCCTTCTTCGCCGACACTTACGCCAGCAAAGTCGCGCCCCACTACAACACCGCCCTGCGTGGTGCCACCGCTGAGGATCGCAAGGCCGCGGGCGAGGCTTTCGTCGCGGCCATCAAGAAGGAGATCGAGCCGCTGCTGTACCCGGGCTTGGAGGGAAAGACACACGGGCCGTTCTTCGGGGGTAGTGACAAGCTGACCTTGGTGGAGGTGCTGTTTGGGTCGTTTTTGATCCGTCTGCACGCGTTCGCGAAGCCGGAGTATGATTTGTTGGATGCGGGTCTGTTGGAGTCGTTGGCCGAGCTGAAGAACTTTAGTCGCTGGGCTGAGGCGACGAAGGATCATCCTAGTGTGAAGGCTATTTTCCCTGAGAAGGTCGCTGCGGAGAGAACGAAGGCTAAGTTGGCTTCTGTGAGGAAGTAGTGGATTTATCTTCTAGTGGTTGAATGTATATCTTCGTTCATGTTTCAGCTTACGTTTCTGGGAGATTAGGATGTAGATGGACTATCCAAGATCAAATACTGGCATCTGGTTCATGCATTGGGGTATATGAAGATTAATGGACAGTTCGATGTGCACACAGATCAGGTGATCAAGATTGTCTTCCCGGTGATCGCTCCATCATCTCTTTGCTATCACCAACACTCATAATCCGGCCATGTCGTTCCTTTAATCAGCCCATTCAGTCCATCTATGCTAATCATACATCAATTTTTCGTTGAGAGCATATCGTATGTCCACACCGTGGGTAACCCCACCCCACAATCAAAGCAGTCAGATGAACCCCTTTGCTCTCACTTACTCTCACTTTGCAACCACCATCCACCATCCACACACAATCCACAAAGAGACCACCCCGAGCAAAATAAATGCCATGACATCAGCCGATCCTAGCATCAAGGTGGTAGCCACATACCGACCGTCAGCACCTCCCAGGATCCCCATCCACAAGACGAAGAATCCCACTTCCCAAATCTTCAGACGCAGTTTTGATTGCTTGGCAGCTTCCGTTCTCGATCTAGCAGTCGTACCCCAAGAGTCGTGAAGGATCGTCAGAAAGCTCCAGACCTGGATGGCAGGCAACGGGATATGATAGAACAAATTGGCAGGCAGACTCCACATCCACTTCTTTGCCGTTGGTCGATAGGGGTTACGAAGTGCGAGATAAGGATCGTCAGGACCAGTCGGTAGAAATAATCCTGCACGGAAAAGGATCGGAGGGGCAGCATCCGGAAACGAGGTACAAGACGACGGTGGCTGGCATGGCGAAGGCTGCAAACTGTCTCCGGAGGGCAGCGAAGAACAGAATGGGAGACTGCATCAGGTAGACGCCTGGTCGGTGGAAGCTTTCGACGTGTACTGCTCGAGCCCAGCGAACCTGCGGGGTCAACATGGTTCTATACGGTTCTGACTGACATACCTGTTGCAGCAACCATCTTCTAAATGTTGTAGGGGTCTCAGTGGCAGTCATCACGTCGGATGCAAAGACTACCTTCCACCCTTTCAACAAAAGGCGTGCCGTCAGGTGACGATCCTCATTCACCACCTAACGGGTCAGTATGGATGAGGACTGGGAAAGTACACTAACCATCCAATGTCCAAGCACACTCTGCTTGTACCAGCCGAGCAACTCTCCACTGACAGCGGAAAACCGAAAGGCAGCAGATGGTCCACTTTGGTAATCATTTGCGGCTGCGGCACCGGTGAATGACCGTGCCAGATACAGTTCGTTGAGGTAGACAGCATTTCCAAGTTGGGTTATAACCGTTTCGTCTCGATTATGGATGGTTAGTGCCGTGCTGGCACCCCCAATGCATGGATCTGCGGCACATGTTGCCATGGTGCGTGTCAGAGTGTCAGGCATCACCATGGAGTCCGAGTCCGACGTCCACAGAAATTCGATATCGAGGATGTCTGAAAGAACCAAGGAAATGATAAAGGAGGTAAACATAACACCTTTCTTGGTGCATGTGTGGCTGGCTTACACAGAGCCTGGTGACTGCTCCATCGCCGACCAGTTTTATGCTGTTCCTCTCCAGCGCTGCCTTCACAATGGAACAGCATTGGGCGATTATTTCTGCATCTGGTGTCTGGATCGACCGTACTCGGTCCATCTGCATGGCTATCTCTGCCAAAGGTATATCCAGATGCATCATGGCGGACCTTTCCGGGTACAGCGGTTGCAACAGAGCAGCCAAGGAAGTTTAAAGTTTGTCGAGTCAAGGACACCAATATCTGGCCAGAGTGAACGCCACTGTGCGGCTTCAAGGGCTTGGGAATGTAGTACATGATGCAAGGAACTGTGAAATGGCCCGATCGAGCATACGACAGTCAGATACAGGCCCCGTTTCTCTCATATACTCAGACATCCTGGGGTGAAGTATAAATCCGACCACGAAGCCCTCCATGGCAATGCAAACCGCTGCTGCCGGCATGGCTATGACTATCCTCGCTTTGGCGCTGGAACATGGCATCTTAGGGAGCACTCATTCTAGTGCTGATGCCAATACGTCCGGCCATCCAGTTATGTTGCTCGCCTGTTGTTGTATTTGGTGTTGCGTGAACATTGCCGTAATGAGGCGCTGCTTAGTGAGATGATCTTCACGCCGAGATCTGATACGCGGCCTGATAAGGGTGCTAGGGTGCAGATCATGCATTCCGGTTATGTAGCAGCCAGCAAGGCTGTCGCATAAGCACTATGAACCGTGTCCTCTACATCTCGATGCTGTGAGCAATACTCACAGCCGGCAGATCGAGTCTGTGTCCTAGTATAGACCCTGCTGTCTAAGTACATGCGTTTGTCGCAAAGGATCTATACTATGCTAGCGAGCGGCGACAATCGGAGTGGATTAGCAACAAGACAAAGTGTTGTGATGGCTGATACACGATACTGCGTCATTGATCGATCGCACTGGCCCACATATGTTCATCTAGGCCGACATCAGCTGGGCTGGAGACCCATTCAGGCAATCACAACCCCGCAAGAACGGGAGATGTGCCCTTGTTACCCAGAATGCACAGCATGTTCGATGGCAGTGTGATTATTTACTGCCTAGTCTTATCTCATCGTGGGGTAGAGGTGCGGTAGGGAATTTGGTGTGTTCCCGCTTGAATGGTCACTGGATGCTTCCATGCCACTAAGACGCCCAAAATGGACAACAAATGCAATGTTCTGGCTGCAGGATCCGCCGTACTATCCGTTACTGGTAGGATTCCGTCGCTAACCCTGCAGTTCGGGATTTGATCCAGAGGCAACTCCTTGGACTGCACTAAACTCTGTCGATCCCACAGGCATGCCGGGCGCTCATGGATCCCGGTCCGCAGCGATTCCGTTGTTCTGGCCGCGCAATTCTGATGCCACTTGACCATTCCTCTTTCTCACCTTCTCAGACCCCTCGTTATGGCATTAACAGCACCAGCCACCGGCCGAGAACATTGGCTGGATGGCCTTCGTGGCATTGCAGCCGCCATCGTGGCCTGGTTTCACTTCACTGTGTGTGAGATGGGACCCCCTTACCGGTCCTTTTGGTCCACTCCTGCCGAAGACAATCGACGCTGGTTCCAGCTGCCACCCTTTCGCCTGCTCTTCGCAGGTCAGGCCATGGTCCTGATCTTCTTTGTCATATCTGGATATGCCGTGTCGATCTCCATCGTCCGACTCCGCGAGGAAGCCCCCACCCACTTCTATCGAAAACTGACCTACTCCGTTTTGCGCCGCGGGTTTCGGCTTTATATTCCCGTCCTGGTCTTATGCCTTCTCTCCCATGCGGCTCTTTACACTGGGCTCATGGACTGGACCCCCGGTAACCCGAAGGAGGGATGCCCTGGAGCGGAGCCTTGATCAGCACTGGGGGCTCATCTCCGCTGTCTGACCATGACCTTTCTGGCGGCCCTCGATCTTAGTGGGCCCTTTTACGTGACGGGGTATAACCTTCATCTATGGACGATCTCGCATGAGTTCCGATGCTCGCTGGGGATCTACTTCGTGATCCTTGGCCTCGCGTCCGTCAAGGATCAGGTGCGGCTGGTGAGACGCAGACTTTCAATGCCAAATCCAGAATCCAGAATCCTCTCTTGCTATGGAAATCCAGGGAAAATGGAATGGTATATTGTAATGGGGGATAGTAAAGTGTCTAGGTCTCCTCCGTGGGAAATATTCTCTCCATAAGTGTCTCTCTATCTTATCTGCGAGGAGATATGTATCATCCAAGGATAGAATGGTGTCATGTTGGTTCTGACAATGGCAAGCTGCTCTGCTCTAGATGATGCACTCTTCATGGTAACTTCTCAGGCTGATCATGTATTGTGGTACAAAGAAGTGACCATAACAATAGAAAAAGAAAATAAAAAAAGGATGAAGTGGAGATGGCTTGACTCAACGGAAGCGGGCGGTAGCCAGGAAGGGGTAGCGCCCCCAATGGGCTTGGGAGCCCGCACCTGCTCTGTCCGTGGGGAATTGGGGGTGACTGTGCCATTCTAGTGCTGGATTTCGATCCCAAGATAGCCATCGTGTGTCATCTAGTGCCGATGATTATTCGGTTGACATTCAATCGGAATCCTGCCCGTCATATGGATGACCCTGCCCCGAGGATCCCGCGCATGGATAGCCACCAACTCTGACTCATCAGAACCCAGTTCCTTGTCCGCGGGGGTAGGAAATTTGAGTAGATACGGTCGAAACCCATCTTGGAGGTGATTGTGCAGCACGTGGAAGAATGGCTTGTACAGGGTAATGGCAGCTAACGCTAGTGAACAGCTTGTTTGTTCGAGTCGGGGGAGCATATCATGGAGGAGGTACGTGGTGATGCGCTGGTCCGGGGAGGCGCTGCTGGCGGTCCATAGTACCCAGATAACGGTTTCCTCGTATGGACTGAACACAGCTGGATCATTAAAGTCGAGTCCGGCCATGATGCGGAGCACGAGGTAGGCCCAGGGGTTGATGGGCCGGTCGGGTTCTGCTGGGCTACCAGATTGGGGGATGGCCTCATCACATAGCAACAGCCGAGCGGCAGCATAGTAAAGGCAGCTCACGGCGATAGAAGAGGTCTTGAAGTACAAGGGCGGCATGGTTGCATCCAGCACGGCATTGGCAGGATGGTCCTGTGGATATTGGATGGCGTCGACAGCGGCTTCTAGAGGCATTGAGTCGCGCCAGGCATCGAGTAATCGTCCAAGGCTCTGAACAGTATGCTGCACGTCTTGTATAGAGAGAAAGTTCTCAGGGTTGGTATCATCATCCTGACGGACCATCTCGGGAAAGTTGGCCCCATACCAATCTCGAGCCCGCTGCATAACCCTATCCATCTCCTCCTGACCCATGCAGTACACCAGGTTTAACCGGGCATGGATGGCACATGCATCGCAGTACAATCCGTATGCAGTACCTTTCCGATCTGCAAAGGCCTGCGCCACTGTCCGAACGGGATAAAATTTCTTTTCCAGCTCCAACATTCGGAATGGGAGCTTGTGAGCTTCCCAGTAAGCGTGTAGTTCCGCCCACCCGCAGAGCAGCGATCGACCAGCAGCATTCAGGGAGATCTCTTGAAAATGAGAGGTCACAATGGCTTGAGCACCTTTGTAATGGGTATACTGTCCGCGTGGGGAGCCCGATCTGCGCTCAAACAGACAGCAGAGAGTTACTGCCACGAGCCGCTCCTCGGGCTGGCAGCCGACATTCTCACCATGCAACATTTGGATGGCTGTATTGTATAATTGGACCCCGCTCGCAAGATGGTCGTCACTGTAGGATGCCTTTTTGAGGAATGTCCTGCCTCCTTCCTCCCAGACCTGGTCGTGCGAATGAGCTAGGTCTGAGGCCGCCAGAGCCAGTAAAGCATTGCGAACCAGGGGCTGGGCTCTGAACTTTTCAACGCTAGGCACTATCGCTGCAGGCAGCCGCGTCTTCAGACAACTCGTATAATGTGCCAGATGGATGCTTTCCTTTGGTTCGACCATGCCACGGTCATTGGCGAAGGAAGAGCCCGTCGAAGAGATGGCGCTCGTTTGATCCACTACCGGGCTTCCTATCACCTCGTCGCTAGTCAGATCGCCAGATTCGCAACAGACCTCGCTTATTGATCGGCCTGGGCCTGAAGATTGCCCATTGTTGCCGGCATCGCCGCTACTGCGCGGCGACTCTTTCCGCTTGGCTGATGCTGATTGCTTCGGTACCCCTTGGTTTTTCGGGGTAGCAGTACGGAACGAATATCGCGGCGTGTACCCTTCACATTGGAGGTTCTTCCGCACGCAGCGAAGACACTGTGGTCTGGTCTCATCGCACTGTCTTGGTTAGAGAAAGAATTCTACAGTGAGAGGTCAATACCTTATGATGACGAGCACGACAGGTATAGCAACCGGTTCTTGTTCGGACAATAGGTGTTTTTCTGGCGCGTGGTGGCGCGGGTGGGTACATGATGAGTGAAGTTGGAGCGAACAGGCCGCGGGAACATCCAGGGGAAGAAGAGCGTTCTAGTTCCCCGCTAAGGATTAGTCGATGAGCTAGCAATACCCGTAAACCCGTGCCATTTTATACACTTATTGCGATGATCAATTAGGCAACAGCCAGACTACATTGACAATTGAATGACCGATGGAGGTACTCTTCATCTTCTGAGGAGACTAGACGAAATTGATTCGGAAATCATACCCATGGCGCACCTTACTGTGTCAGCCTAGCAATCCGCCCAACCAGCACATACCCCACACTATATAAACATGGGACATCGGAATTTATTCATTTCAAATAGCGAGGTAACAAATTTCTTTCTTTTTTTTTTTATATCTTCCGGCATTTCATTCTTCCAAAAAGAGCTATTCAATGCTACTAACTATTCCAAAATCCACCGATGCCATCTAATCAGCGATGAATGCACATAAATTACAGCACATTGACGGCGAAGCTATGTATCAACCATTAAGCCCTAGCAGTGTTGTGATAGCTCTGACAGCGATGCAATACTTCTACATACAAATATTAGATCCTTGCTATTGAGTATCTGTGGACAAAATGTATATAATAAAATACTGAGGTATTCTCGCCGACACCAAATCTAGCCCATTAAGTCCCCCTTCCTTGCCCGCTGGAAGAGAAGACTTCGTGATAATACCCAGACGCAATAAGAACGGCATGAGCGGTACACCCTAGACGAGGACTGGGATATCCAACGATCGAGCTAAGAGAACACGCAAATACTCAGATCCATTCTACCCTGACAACACGAATATTACATCAATTATATAATTGCGCGACACTATACAAAACCACTATAGAGAAATACATACAACCACCCTCCCCTAAAACCCACACTAAATACCCACCTAAGAAATAACCGTCCCATTCCCTCCCAAAGTCTCACACTTCCCAGGCAAGGTAATCACCGCCCCCTCCCCCCTCGCCGCATCGGTATGATTATACGTCGGATTCAACGCCATAATCTGTCCCACCGTGGTCCCCGACTTCTCCGCTAAATCCTTATACGTCCCGTAGGTAAACAATAACGGCTCAACCGTACACCGACTGGGACTACACTGCGGCACTTTCAGAAAGTTATCCACTTGCACAGGTGTATCGGGGTCTGTGACGCCGCCTTGCGCGGTGGCGGATAGGGCTTCAACCGTGATGTTGAGCTTGAGGGCGATGTAGCGGATCGTGTCGCCCTCCAGGGTGTAATAGGCGTGAGGACCGCCGGCGACACAGTCGGAGTAAGTGTTTGTTGGGTTGGGGAGGATTAGGCAGGTGGAGTTGTCGGGGGTGCAGGTTTCAGGGGGAATGAGGAGTTCTTCGCCGGTGAGGAGGGGGAGCATGGCGTCGGCCATGCGGTTGAGGCGTGCGATGTCGCAGATGCCGCGGGAGACGGTGTGGGAGATGCTGGTCATGGTGTCGTTGGGTTGCACGGTATAGAGGCCGACGGTGCTGTTGAGGGTGCGGTCACAGGTTGGGGCGGCTGCTGCGAGGGCAGCGAGGGATAGAATGGAGATGGGTCGGAAGTACATGATGGCTGAAATTGAAAGAGTGACGGGGGTATGCTAAGCGAGCGACTTTTGAGGTTGATGAAGATGGTGGATATGAAATTGGGAGATTGCCGTTTTATAGGCAACCTGGATTCCATCTTTTCCATGGTCTGTTGCGCGAGTCTGTAATCAACGGGCAATTCGCAATCCGACCCGTCAAGCAGCGATCATGACGAGTACAGTGCACTTGGTGTCACAGATATGGAGTACCTCATACGCGTCAGCTTGGACAAACTCCAGTGGACCTATCAGGGAGACAGCATAGGGCCTGCGGGCTCGGAGATAGCCCAGGGACGCCCCGCAAGGGACGAAGATCCCATCCCGTACCGGATACTGCCGCAGTCTGGTACAGCTTGCAATAGCAACTTGCATACTGGTTGCTGCAGAGATGTACCAGTAGAGATAGTGGATCATGGGGTCGACCCGTAGGAAGTCTGGTGTATGCTGATCTGCAGATACTGACGGGATCATAAACTTCTGGTTACGCAGGAAGCAGGAAGATTGTGAGGATGGTTATCTCCGAACTTTCCAGGCAGCCATAATGTGTACTCTAGTCCTCATCTATATTGTTATTCCCCTGGTCTAAGGCATCCACCCCATTCCAACCAGCCGCGAAGACTAGAGCAGGTTGTTCAACAAACCCCTGATCATTACTGAGGTAATCCGCCCCGTGCCAAACCAGGTTGGAACGAGAACAGGACCTCTTTTACTCGACTCTCGCGATATAGCAATCGATCCCTGTCGAATCAGATGTCCCAAATCTGACTAGCTCCTGGTCTCTTCCATCCCATATCAACCAACTACCAGTATCGGAACTATACAGCATTGAATGCCATGATGCTCATCACAGCGGCCCACTGAACTCTTCCTATTCAAAGTCTTCTCGCATAAGCCGGTAAGCAAGCGAGAGATTCCCCACGTTTTCTGCAAAGATCGCCCCGCTGCAGTTGATGGTATTCCGCCGCACCTGGTTGGCGCTAATCCTTCAATCCGAAGCTCGGGTCACGGCTCGCAAACGCCCCCCGAAAACGGTAAACTCCGAGCAGACACCTGGATCGGCATCCCGTAGTGCAGCAGAAGCAGCTAATTTTTAAGCTCTATTTCATGACAGTTGGTCTTGTAGAATATCCATTGGCCGGATGGTGTAGTTGGTTATCACATTTCGTTTACATTTACCCAATAAATGTTGTACCGAAAAGGTCCAGGGATCGAGCCCCTGTCTGGTCATATTTTTGTTTTTGAGCAGCTGCCCCAAAGCTGTTGAGTTGTGTATCTAGGACGATTTGAGTGTGCAATCGTATTTAAATGGGGGGGTTTTTTTTTTTAGTAAAAGAATAAAAAAAAGATCTCGTCTTGGTGTTTCGAATTTTGAATATCCACCTCATGTTTGGGGGCGACCGTCGCTAAATGCATAACGGGCGTTCATTCAGTGGGTAAGAGGTAAGCAGATGTAGTTGGCCTCTGTCCACGGATGGCATTGTTGTTTTCGACAGAAGGATATCATCACGATAATTGTCAAGAATTAGTCCTCTCAAAGAAGTCCCCCCGTAACGAGACATATATTTGATGACTTTTGCAGCCAACGCAACAGCCCTGGTCAACTAGCGTCTGTTATACAGCCTGCCACTGACAAAACTCGTCCAACATCGTGGTCTATCTTTCAAAAAGGCATCGGAGCACGTAACTCAGCCTGCCCTAATCACTGGTGGCGATTCCATCTTTGGCACTCGGTTCTCATCTCATTTTACTGTCGGAAATTGATCCAGTCTGTATTCTAGCTTTAGGAAGCATACACATCAACGTGTCTTTCAGCATGACAATGTGCTGACGGAGTACTGCACTAGCCTGATAGACATATATATATTTAGAACCAATAAGGTTCTGACCAGGAACCCCTGCGTTTGCCGCGACCAGCACAGACCATCTGCATATCTCTAATACCTTGAATTCTTCAAGTCTGAGGCGGCGGCTGCAGCTGCAGCTACATTCCTCCAACATACCCTCGAGTGTCCTCGAGCGGCCATCGGAGACTTTGGGGCAAAGTTCCTCCGATGCTGATTAATCTCGGCTGGCGTGGGGTCCAACTGCCGAACTAACAGTGGGGATAGCCTCATCTCCACCACTCACAGCCCGGATCCAACCCCACGAACCTTGGAATCACGACCACCCACGAGTCAGGCCACGGCTGCAGCCACCCTCAGCCACCAAGTCGGAGACTTCGCCCGAAGCGGCAAAGACGTTCCTAGTCGGCGACTGGCGATCAAACCATCTCAATATCAGTGATCTCCACCCTGGATTTCAAAGCAGCTTCCACTGGTTTCGTCGGGTTCGATCCGGTATAAATGCCACCCTGCGCATCCTCAACTTCACTACCATCTGTACACCCATACCACTGCATACACCCCATCATGACCGTCACCAACCTCGTCAACACCCCCGCCCCGGGCATCTCCTACTTCACCCCGGCTCAAGATCCCCCCGCGGGCACGGCCGCGAACCCGCAAACCAGCGGCAAGCCGGTCCCGAAACTCTTCCACCCTCTGACCATCCGCGGCGTCACCTTTCAAAACCGTCTCGGCGTGAGTCCCCCTTCTTCCTTCCCTCTAGCAATACCACCATACTGATGATCTCAGCTCGCCCCCCTCTGCCAATACAGTGCCCAGGATGGCCACATGACCCCCTACCACATCGCCCACCTGGGCGGCATCGCCCAACGCGGCCCCGGCCTGATGATCATCGAAGCCACCGCCGTGCAGCCGGAGGGCCGCATCACCCCGCAGGACGTGGGTCTGTGGCAGGACTCACAGATCGCTCCGATGCGCCAGGTGGTCGAATTCGCCCACTCCCAGAATCAGAAGATTGGCGTGCAACTCGCTCACGCCGGCCGCAAGGCTAGCACCGTTGCCCCGTGGATCTCGGGTACCGCGATGGCCACGGAGGATCTGGACGGCTGGCCGGATCGGGTTCTCGGCCCTAGCGATATTCCGTTCGCTGATACGTTCCCGAAGCCGAAGGCTATGACTGCGGCCGATATCGCTCAGTTCAAGGCCGATTGGGCGGCTGCTGTGAAGCGGGCTCTTGCGGTGGGGGTGGATTTTATTGAGATTCATGGTGCTCATGGATATTTGATTTCGTCGTTCTTGTCGCCCGCCGCGAATAACCGGACTGATGAGTACGGTGGTTCGTTTGAGAACCGGATTCGTTTGCCGCTTGAGATCGCCCAGATCACCCGTGACGTTGCGGGCCCTGACGTCCCCGTCTTCCTCCGGGTCTCGGCCTCCGACTGGCTCGAGGAGACTCTCCCCGAGCAGAGCTGGAACCTGGAGAGCACGATCAAGTTCGCTCAGGAGCTCGCCAAGCAGGGCGCGATTGACTTGATCGATATCAGTACCGGTGGCGTGCACGCCGCGCAGAAGGTCAAGTCGGGACCTCTCTTCCAGGCCCCGTTCGCGGTGGCGGTGAAGCAGGCGGTTGGTGATAAGTTGCTGGTCTCGGCGGTGGGTGCCATCACGAATGGTCGTCAGGCGAATGATCTCCTCGAGAAGGAGGGATTGGATGTGGCGTTGGTGGGGAGAGGATTCCAGAAGGATCCGGGGTTGACGTGGACGTTTGCGCAGCATTTGGATGTGGAGATCTCCATGGCGAGTCAGATTCGCTGGGGATTTACTCGACGGGGCGGGCGCGAGTTCATTGATCCGAGTGTTTATAAGCCGTCGATTTTTGATGCGTAACTAGACTAGATAGACTCATAGATAGCTGTTGAGCGGCTAATGCTTAGATCCCACTGACCGATGGGTCGTTCTGACCCTGGTGTCAACATTCCATCCCTTATACATACGGAGTACAATACACATAACCATCCAATGCACCATTCCCGCAATTAACAATATAAAACATAGCCAGCACAATAAACCATATTTCACATCTATCAAAAAATACCTCCCCACCACACCTCGCTGCACACCCCACCCCCATTCATGCAAAAGAAATTAATTAAGTCCCGGCGTCTCCCCCACCCGAAACACAAACTTCACCGCACTCGCCTTCCCCTCCTTCAAATCCCTCATGGCGGCCTCCACGCCCACTAACCCCCCCTCACGAACCACAAACGGATGTCCCGAGAACACCCTCCCCTTCCCGCCCTCCTCCTCCCGCGCCAAGGCACGGCTAAACCAGCGACAAAACACAAAACACAGGTCTCGACAATCGACCCCGTTCTCATTGCCATGGGCCGCACTGACCCACGTAGTTGATGTGAGGATGGTGGATGGGTAGGGGTTCGGGGTAGGGATGGGGAGAACGGTATCTACCTTTCCTGTCCCATCATCAGTGATCACCTGCTTGATGGTGGAAATACTCGTCTCCGACACAATCGTATCCAGAACATTCCTCAATACCAGTCCCCCCTTTTCTTCAGAGGAGGATGGGGTAGAGGAAAGGATGGATTTAATTTCCTGGACGGTAGCATCGATACCATTACGGTAATCAACTACCCTATCGCCCTTAGTCTCATCCAGGAGACTCTCCACGTAGGGGGATCCCGCGCCGGGCGATGGCGATGATCGGGTGGATGTTACTCGCGCGGGCGAGTTTAATAGCGAAGGAGCCGACGGCGGTACTCCCGCCGTAGATGAGGAATGGAGTTGGGGTGGCGGTGGCAGATGGGGGAGACCAGGGGGTCGGGAGGGCGTGGCGGTAGTAGAGGGAGATGACGGCTGTTAGGGCCGCGAGGGGGATGGTTGAGGCTTCTATTGATTATTAGTACGGAGTATCGTAATCTTGGTCTGGATGATGCAGGGGGTATGTTGGGGG